ATTTAGCTGCCCCCAACATTCCCATCTGCCTCGTGCTTAGATTGAGGAACTCCAAGAAGGAGCTCAATGACATCCGGTTTGAGTTCTTGCCAGGCAGAGGTGAGGAGTCGTAAAGGTTCTTTGTTTCTTTGTTCTGTTTTTCATGTATGGCTCATTTTTTTTGCCTTTTTTCTATCATCAGACTGCGCTGATGGAGTTTCTCAGGAGTTGGTCTCAGCTGGCCTGGTTGATGGGAGGGACTTAGTCATTGGTAAGTTATCAATTCAATTTTTATTTAGCAGTTTATGGTTTTATCATTTATATAATGTTCATTTGATCAGTGAACATGTCTTTGCTTTGCTCTGTCTAGTTGCTGCCAATTTGCAAAAGATTGTTGAGGATCCTCAAACTAACAAAAACGTCACCTTTAAGCTGGTAAGTGTGTTTGAATGTAGTGGTAAATACCTTGTATTATATCCAATACGACAGATCCTCTTCACGACCATTAATTTGATTTTTGTCTCGTCGCCGAGGCAGGGCACCGTTTATCTGTTAGTTTCAGACAGCTGTAACTTTCACATAGAAAGGTTAAAATACACCAAACTTATGAGTCATCCATGTTGCATGCCCACCATTCTATGTGGTCATATGACATCATCAAAACCCCGCCCCCTGACAACAGGGAGTTACTTTTTTTTTTTTTTTTGCTTGGAAAGCTACTTCTCAGACCCTCTTGACCCAATCAGCAACAACACAGATAATAAGTTTATCTCACCTGCTTTCAAGCACAAACACTTTTTGGTCAAAGGTCATGGCTGTGRGGTGAAGTCGGACATCATGTCGTTGACATAAGTTTGGCTCTAAATTCCACATATTTCAGCCAATCTGCACCTGATTTGCTGTGGTCAGTCCTAATCCACCCCACTTCAGGAATGCAGTCCAGTCTTTMGTGGGCGTGGCCTAATTCCTACACAGCTCCTCCTACAATTATTTAAAAATTCGTGCCCTAGCCGTCCTTAGACCTGGAATCATGAAATTTGGTACACATGTGTAACGTCTCAGGACCTACAAAAAAAAAAAAGAAAAAAGAAATTCTCTTGGGGTCATGGTCCACACCCCAGAGGAAGTCGGCCATTTTGGATCAAAGCTGCCAACTTGTCTCTTTTCTTGCACATGTATATCCGAGCTAACTGCCCCTACAGCTTTGAACATGCAGACTTCACATGCTGCATGCTTCTCTCAACACTGACTGATGGCGAGATGGTGTGGCAGAGTGGTGAATGCTGATGCCTCACACCTGCATGATCAGATCTGCACCAAGTTCTGTGTGCATCATCAGGGAGACCTGCTCAACACAAGTGTGTTAGTTTGATGAGATCACTTTAGTCCCCTGCTGGTCRATGAGAGATTATTTAAATAATGAAGGAACAAAACTGCTAACAGTTGTCACTACTGAATGGCGACGGGGGGCATCAGCGATGGTTCGCGTCGAGTTCTGTCTTAATAGTATTTGTACTATTTTCTGTTTTTCAGGCATCTGGTGTGGAGGAGTCAGAAATTCCTGATGATGTTAAACTGATCGGGTTTGCGCAGCTCAGCATCAGTTAAGTCGAGCAGAGCTGGCAACCAAGGACAGAAACATACGGTATTGCACAGGTGCATTGTAGTAAACTCCAAGAAACCACTACTGCCAAAGAGGGGAGATTAGGATGATGAAGATGATGATTACAAAGAGGAAGAGAAGACGACGTGAGGCTGGCAGGAGTGTGACACGACTGCAGGATGCACGGGGGCCACACAGAGGGTTCAGATCATCACAGGAATCACACTTGAAATGTTTACAGTGCGCTTATACAGTGAGTGGGAGAAGAAATGCAATCAACCACATCAGCTCCTAATTTCCTTATTTTAAATTTTTCTCCTCCTCCTACACAAGCACAATCCAACCCGTCTCCTACCAAGACTGAAAACCATTGCCTTTTTGTAAATCAGTTGTGCCACAAAATTAAAACGTGTCGTGCCACCTCAGCACGGCACTTTATGCTACACTGAAATCTAAAAGTGTAAGTTCAGCCTTAGTTTAAAAAACAACAAGAACAGCAGTGTGTTTGGTAAAAAGCTCCATCTTTCTGTTATTGGATGCTCTCTGAATACATCTATTCGACAAATCTGTGAACACCCCTCAACATTTCTACTGACACTGTAACAAAACACACCACAGCTAATTTTTATGTCGTAATTCTCTGAATTTTGTGAAGTTTAATAAGAAAAATCAACCCACACACTTGTAAGGCAGCCAAAAGCAGTGCAAAGAATTCTTCACCCAATATTTAGTTTTCATCAGAAGAATCAAGGAGTTTAATCTTCTAACGGAAACAACAGCTCGATTTACAACACAACACACTGTTTGTTGGTATTTTCTTCATGTAGTATAGATGGTTTATTTTCACTCTGCCTGATATTCTTCTACTATGCAATAGTGCTGTTCATTTCTTCAAATGTGACCACTCGTTGCTATTACAACCTGTTTTGGTTTGCAGAAAATTGCTTTTTTTTTGTGCGAGCAAATTGAAAGGAGTTGATAAACAGAATGGGCAGCTTTAGAAAGCTGCTAGAGGGATTTTATTTTTCATGTTATTTAAAACTGAACTCACAAGACACAGATACGTCTGCTCTTTTACACATGCCTTTTAAAAGATATGTCATCAGTATCAGAAGACGAACAGCCTGGAAGGATTAGGAATGCTCTGTGATCTTCTGTGGAGGTATGCATGCTCAAAAACTAAAAAAAAGAAAGAAAGTTCTTCCAATGTGAAATAAACCTTACAGGAGCAGTTTGCTTTTATTTCTGTTTAAATTTCTTATTGGCTGGTATTTTTTTTCTTTGTAAAGTTTTTCTACATGTCTTTGAGAATTGGCGGCCACAACAATAAGATGAATATTGAGTCATGGCTGTAGTGAGCAGTGCTTTTTTTTTCTCTTCACTCTGTTGGAATGCCACTTTTTTTTTTTTTTTGGTGTTTAGTGTCTTTGTTTCATTAGTGAAGTATTTCAGTGTGTACGTGACCAGCACAAGAGATTATACAAACACCTGCTGTCAGATAAGGAGGGATTCCTGGACTTGTTTTAAGTGGCCCCAGCTGGTTCACACTTCTTTTCCTAAAGCAACTCTACAACTATTAAAGGATAGTTTTTAACTTCGGCATCAAACAGCCGTCTTTCTTATAGTTTTTGTTCAGTGCCTTTACACACAGTAGCTTTAGCTTTTTGTTGAGTTTGTCAGCAAAATTGCATAAACCCAGTTGAAGGATTTTCACATAAGTTAGCACTCTTGTTAGCATAAGATGATAAACAGGCATCAGGGTTCAGCTCAGTTTAGCTCCATTAAAAAGTCCATTCATCTCCATTATATTGACAGGCAGCAGGTCGAGATGTAACTTAAAATCTTTTAGTGTTTTTTTTAATCAATGCAAAGCTGTCTGAATGACAGAATTCCACATGGAGGTAACATTTCAAACTTTAGTTGAAGTACAACATTTCAGAACCCAGATATGTTTTTCTTTTTTGTAAGTTGAGAGTACTGTAGTAAACTCACCAACAAATCACCGTCGTCACTCCCAGTGTACCTYTATGGCTTTTTACGTACCATGTGCAAAGGGCTGGGGTCTAGCTCCTAGGTCAGGTACTGATGTAAATGTGAAGGTGTAAATGTACATAAAATGGCACCTCTGCGTACTGTCACACGAGCATCCTGAGTTTATACGTGACACGCATCGAYTGTTTTAAATGTCAGTTGAAAGGAACACTTGTAAATATTCAAATGGATTCAGATTCATCTTATTCAGAGCATTTTGGATTTGTTTTGTAGTGTTCCACTCTTGGCCTTTTCTCAAAGCATCATTATTCATGCACAGATTATTACAACATTTAAGACTTCTGTTTAATATTCTTTTAGACATTGGAAATATTGAACTTAATCCAGGTCCAGATAAAAATGTTATGTCCACTTTTTTATATTTRATGGGARTTTATACATATTTTTRAATAATTATCTTGACCTGGGTTTGTGCACAGGTGTATCTWATATAAATCCAACTCAATTACAGTCTACACAGGGATCTATATCCTGAAAAGGTTAGACAACTTCCTGTTATGTCAAGTCTGAACACTACATCAGTAAGAAAGCAAAAGCGATTTTCCTGTTTAAAAAAAAATCCAGGGACGCTAAATCAACTAGGTAAAATTAGAGGCTTTAAAATCTGTCATTTTAAATATGAGAAGTCTTGTACCTAAACTGGATGAATTCAAAGTACTACTTGCTCAAACACAAGCACGTTATGGCTATATCAATCATGGCTGACTCCTGCTATACCAAATTCGTTTCTTTCAGTTGAACATTATTCATTGTATCGTAGAGACCGTACTGATAGGCTTGGAGGTGGTGTTGCAGTTTATGTTCACAAGAAATACTCACATTCTATAATAGAACTGTCAACTGAGTCTGAATCTCTGCAATTAGAAATCAAGCTTACAAATCACCTTTCAGTAACGGTTGTTGTTACATAAACTCCAAGTGTTAATTCAACGAAATATTTAGCGCAGCTCACTGACATTATAAAAGGCATAAAATCAAAGAGTTTGTGATTCTTGGTGATATCAATATGAATTGGGCTGATAAAACTT